GAACATCCTGGTGATCCCTCAGAAGAACTCTTTTTCAAAGAGTCAAATGGCCCTAACGAACAACAACGTTGATTGTGAATGGATGTTCAAGCATAGCCTCTGCACAACAAACATGGTTGAGTGAACAATGATACTGTAACAAACCATGTCCGTGCCCCTTTACAAAGGTGATCATTTCGCTTTCGTCGGTGCTAGTTGGAGGGTGACAAAGTTGTTCACAGTTCCGGGATAGGAAACACTCATTGTTTGATACTAAATTGATGCTGCCTGTATCTGCTGAACACTTTGTTTGTACGAATACCTTGCCCTGACTCTAATGCCCATCCGAAAGGAACTTCTCAGAACGATTGGCATTCACTATTCACTTTGCTCTCGAGGTGCTCGTCTCTCAATCTACTAGCTGATATTTAGTCTGTGACATCTACTCGGCGGGCTGAAAACAACAGCAGTTCGGTCATGTGTTTTCCATTGCGACCTATCCTCCCAATCTCAGCCCAGGGGCCATTCACCAGCGCTGACCATCCAATGTGGTGAGCTAAGAGTGGGAGATAATAAATCTTATAGATAGCTCGACTCCCTAAAGATGAGATAGCACTTTTAGACAAGAGCTGGACATCCTGTGCACCCACAGTATGTCTACATTTGCATCATGTTGCATCTGCAATGATCGCTGAGCCTCATGCGCACAAGCAACATGCCGACATGTTGGCCAAACATCTTCGTGCAATATGTCAATGGGTCAATTACAAGTACAAGGTAAACTAACGTGATGAGGTGCATTACCCACTTATTGGATGCCTAGCAAAAACCTATATAATCAAACATCGCCTTGCCCCGGAGATGCTGTTCCAAACGGCCTGTGAAAATGACTCTTTCCTCCTGACCCTAAAGTATCTTGAAGTGACATCCGCGCCCATCGTAACTTGGAGCCTCGCGAGCCTTGAGAATGAGTCAAGCCTTTTGCCGAAAGACGGCACGCAGTCGATCCTCTGGTTCAGACAGTACTACTGTGACGCAGGGTCCTGCTGACCCTGTCCTGTACAAGCCGTCCGTTGCGAGGCGAATTGGCGTTTCAGAGCTCAGACATCTCCTTCCTTCAAAGGGTGAGTCATTGAGCTATATAGATCGGTGAAAAGTTGACGAAGAACCGACCAGTGACCCTCCAAGCGGTGTTTGTTTTTTTTCCGCGTCTCCAAGCGTCAGTAAAGGGATACAAATCGAGGATACTGCCAGGATTTGTTTCTGGCATACTATTTTTTGACTAACTCAAAGTGCAAAGTCACGGAGTCTTTGTTTTGTCTTGACTTCACGATATTTTCACAAAACAACGTATCTTCTTGTGACTTCCTTTAACTCTCATCACCTTCCACTCCCTTGGCCTGGATCACTCTCCGGATCGTCGGCTCTCAGTCCAGGCCACACACGGCGAGGTCGACCCGACCCACCACGTTGGCGCCAATCCTGGGGCTTTCGGTCGACCCGTGGAAGCGGACGGCGAACCGAACCACGTGGCGTTGCACCGCTGTGACCAGTTGTCTCGTCCTGATGCCTTTTGAATGAAGGGCTGGTCGCATCGAGTAAGGCCCACAGCAGCCATGTGAACATGCCCCAACATGCTGGAGGTTTGCTCTGTGGTGGTAAAATTAAACAAATATGTGCATTGACTTTGGATGAAGACTTGCATGCCGTCCGAGCAGTTATGCCAACCCATCTGCAGCCATAATTGTTCCAAGAGTTTCTGGCTACGAGGAATCTAGTCAGAAGGGGATTTTACCCTTTCGACTGGCCGTTAAAGCAAAACAACAAACAAAACACTATCATTAGATGCCCATAGTTTCCCAAAGGACCATCTTCCAGAGAGAACACGTGTCGACGACTGCTTCAGCGGCGGCGCTTGCTTCGTCCAGGCCACCCGTTCGCCGCACGGACCCACCACGACGTGTCCGCCACGGCGGTGGACGCTCCGGGAGCCCCGGCTTCGCGTCCAGGCGTTGCTTTCGGCGCTCCAGGAAGTCGCCGAAGCCGGGCATCGCCTGTGCGCGGAAGGTCCGTCTGTTCAGGTGACAGGCGACAGGTCCAGAAAGCAAGCAGAACAGGGACAGGAGCAAGATACAGTAGATTAAAACAAAAGTAGATGCACATCCCAAACCCAGATCAATCATGTTATAATATCAAAAAAGTAAACACATATACTGTGTCAACGTGATGACTAATATACTGTGCATTTACTTCCCCACGTTGCGCTTCCTGCCTGGAGCTTCAAACGATCGATGGGATTGCCTTTGAGCCAAAGATCGCTGAGGCTCCTGGCCGTCCAAAGAGCGATACGGACCGCGCGTTGAACGATGAACCCGAAACAACGTGTTTACACCTGTTTGACATATTTATAGCTATACTATGCTATACTGATAGTCTATCCGATCCTTTGAGAGCAAGACTTGGGGATCACTACCAACTAACTACTGTACAGTATCGTAGATGCACAAGCTCCACCATGTCCGGTGCACAAGGTCCAAGGCAAGTTTAGTCTGTTAAACTTGTTGGTCCAGCTCCAGCTGTGCACACCACAGACTTCCCACGTCGAACTTCCATCCTGGAGCTCTCACATGGATGATCTACCCCAACCAAGAACCATCCCTTGCGATTGCAACGGAGTCCTTACACACGTTTGACCAACCAACACACATCAATCCTCAAAGCACATGTGTTAGCATCTCTTTTGGGAGCCATCACCTAATACCTTGATCTAAATTATCTATAGAAATCTAAAATTGCCTTTGGAGCCTCCCGAGGCGTTATTGACCGTGTCATGCCTTTTCCACAGTCTCCAAGTTTCCAAGCTTTCCCATGCTTGACCCGTCAACCCCGTCCGGTCACCTAAATCTCCATGCCGGGTGCACGGGGTCCCTGCGATGATGGCTTCTGGGATTGCCGTCCTGGCCGCGGAGGCTGGAGGTGTGTCGAAGAGTGGGAGCTTCCCCCGACTCAAGTCGTTTGGCTTTTTGATGGTTGCTTCTCCCCAAGGGTCTGTCTCGGGATCACCCTAGTGTAACATACACTCATGTGTAGATTGCTGGATGCCTAGGTGAGGAAGGAAGCACCGATGTAGATTGCGAAGGATGTGTTTGTTGTTTTCCGCTAGATGGCGAAGACTTCAGATGAAAACTGTGGGTTGTGTACCAGGTGTCAGCACATAGATAATTCTAGTATATTTTAATGTACTTAGTTGGTCATCAAAGTTCTGTGACTTCCGCTTGAGAATGCCCTTCATCAAGGCCTGAGAATCCGCTCAACACAGCAACCACATCGGAAGTGGCTTGCCAACGTGGCTCCTCGTCTTCCAAACCCTTCAATTCTGTGGATTTCCATATTATATGTGTTTGGGAAGGATAACGCAAAGGGATATAGAAGGATGGAAAAGGAAGTGCCCTAGGCCTTCTTAAGTGGTGCAAAGGCTTCTCCACCATCTTTGATCCCAAGACTTCAGCTGGGCTGACAGTGAGTTGTCTGCGGCGTCCAAGTACTGCAGCTTGGACAACCTATCAAGCTTGGACATCCAGTGGCTGATGGGAGTCCTTTTACTGGAGTGGCGACGTGCCCGTAGATGATGTCCTACCCCTGGGGGTCATTGGAAGCACCGTAAGCAAGAATGCGCAGAAAAGGGGATCCTCACCATTTGGAGCTGCGAATTCTTCGCACGCGACGTCATGGGGGTTAGAATATTATTGAATTGAACTGGTGGACAACGGCCGAGTCTGAAAACTCTAAACGAGGTACGTAAAGCAAGTATTGGTCAACTGTGGCCGAAAGGACACATCCAAACACATATAGTTGCAGAGTGGTTGCAGTGACATGCCAACACGGCATGCGGATGTATTCCAGTATAGCTATTCGTCACCTGGTGGATGTACTTCTGTCTGCGGTGTCCGAATCATCCAGTCATATCCTGCAAGTCATGTGGGCGCTGCGACGACACGTCGCCGTCTTTGAGAAAAGTGGCAGGAGTTGATGTGTCAAGACGTTTACTGTTTACTACGAAATCAGGGGTTTGACACCTATACATCGGTAGCAGCTTCCTCAAATCCTAGGAGTGAAATGAGATCAGTTTGTCCTTGCACCAGGGCACAAATTGACCAACCCCACAATGGAAAGACATGACATACTCTACAAATGCCCACATCTGCCTTACTTGCTGCTCAAATAGACATCAAATAGACTTCATGACACCCAGTAATATATTCTGGGAGTCCAAGACCATGTTTAAAATTGTCTGTGGACGATCCGAAAAGGGCATATTCTTTACTTCGCTGGTGCCAAGAATGGTCTTTGGACCTTGAAAAACATGGCCCTGTCAGTTTCGCTGTCGGGTTTGGGGCCCCACTGGCCCAGCTGCTCCGGCAGGGCGGCTAAGCGGTTCTTGCTGAGAACCAAGCGTACCTCAGAGGCACAATGAACACCATAGCGCATTTGATAGGGGTCACGATATTGACTTAAAGAACAGCAAATCGACAAATACAAGAGTCGTGAAATCCTTGAAATACCAGATCCGAAGAATTGTGACACAAACATGAGATAGCGCCAGTGGCGCATTCAAATTTCTGTCGGAGCAATTGCAGTGAACAAGCACATGAGATAAAACCCATCTGTGGTGATCTAAACGTTTAGCACGTTCTCAGGGTCGGAACCGCATGTTCACTTCCCCTTCCATGTGAATGTGTTCTTGAAATGCTCTGTACCAAAGCTGCTCTGATTGAACTGTCTCAGCCAATTCAGGAACAAAAGGACACACATGTTTCCTCCACGTGGAGGAAACAGCGTTCCCACCATAAACCAACATGCCACGCATGTTACAAATACCGATGCTTGGAGATCAGCGGGCCTTCAGTAATACTAAGATATACCTCGGGAAACACACCAACGACTCCAACGACCAACCATGTGCATCTTTTTCCTCCAGCAATCGAACATTTGTCTTGTACATAACATGCGAGAAGTCTCCTCAGCTGCACATCAGCGGCGATGACTCGCGATTGATCGATCAATCTCTTGAAGTGGCTCAAAACTCTCAATGCAGGAATTATCTGCAGACTTATTTGATGCACAACAAGTACAAAAAGGGGTTCAGCCCTCAAGCTTGAGACATATCTTTTATGTCGAGTTCGCGATAAGCACACGAGGCATTCATGTGTAGAAGAATGTGAACGCACCTAAAATCTCCTGAACACATCTTCTGAGATCTATACGTCTATATATACTGTATACAGTACTCTGTCCATCCCCTCTCCAGAGAACCTGTAGACCCAACTCCTCATGGGCGGTAGCATGCCATGCCGGCGGTCCCAGCGTCTTTGCTTCTCTGTAGGCCTTCCGCCGCTCTTCAAGAGCCTGCACAGGGATTATAACAGTTAAATAAGGTTGATAAGAAGGCATACGAACACTGTTGTTGACAGAAAGTAACAATAACTACATCTTATATACACGTACTTGGCCCTGAAACAATGTTATGCTAGATGCTGGAGTTACTCCAGTTGGTACAAGATCGACTCTTCCGCCTTTACTATATACGGATCTGCATTTCAACGGCCACGCCCTCGCACAATCAGGCGAGGGAGAGGAGAGATATCCAAATCACAAGACCCACCAAGTGGTCCAAAATGCCAGGTCAGTAGGCCAATACTGGTTGCCTCTGAGATAGCAGCACATGAATAATATACAATGTATACAACTTATGACTTATAACTATAGTGTTCTCTTTTTATCACATGTTGAACATTGTTGAACTGTGCATCCACAGGCTTTTCGGGGGACACAAGAAATATATAAGGTTACCAAGGAACTCCATGTCTGTCCACAACACAACTCCCAAGAGTTGTGGAGTGAGCAAACAACCTGGAAAACATTTGAGTTGTGGAGTGAGCAAACAACCTGGAAAACATTTGGTGGATGGAGAGGAGATAGCTCTTTAAACAATCAATCAAAGAGGGTCCCGGCTCTTGAAAAATCTGGGGGGCAAGCCCGCCCTCGAGCTCGAGCGGCTCAGTCTTTGCCTTGGCAGGAATGAATTCCTGCCATTTGCTGGCCAGCTCGGTCAAACTCAGTTTCGAAATGCGTGAGATGGCACCAGTCTCCTCGGCATTGGCTGGTGGGTGGGCGCCAGTCTCTTCTGGACCAATCCTATTGCTGCAGGGAACATAGAGCTGAAAATCCTATGATTCTCAGCAACTTAGAGCTCAAGGGCCCAAGACTTTTGCCAGACTTCTTCATTAAGTATACTCCAGTCTCTTGTCCCTTCTGGTGGGGGCTTTCACCCCTGATGTTTCCTCGTCACACACATGACCTGCGCAGCCTGCAGGACAACATGGGCATGGACGACGAGTCGTTCGAAGAGAGAAGACATGGACTTTTTGAGTTCAATTCCCTACCATTGTTCCATATTGTTCCTGTCATTTCTCCACCATCTGTCCATTTCTCCAATGGCGACATGGTCATGGCACCAGGGGTCACGACCAGACACGACCTCCCTGGAAGGTCAAGCCACTACATGGTGTGGACATTGGTGCTCAAGGTGAAACCACCCATCCCGACAATGAGACCACATGATACGCGCTTGTTAAACGGCCGAGCTTCGGCCACCAATCCCGTGCGACCATCGAGGATCTCAGCCGCCTGGTGACCAGGCGCGAGCGCAGGCGCTTGCCGCTTGCTTTCTTCCCAGCCAAGACTTGTTCCCAACGACAGGTGCATTCAACTTTGGCCCACCACTAGTGACTGAATTCTGCACTTATGATATTTATGGACTTCAAGCGCACGAGAACCAGACATCACAAGGTTCATGGTTCCTCACCTGAGTTTCTACATGTTTCTAGAAAGCAATCGATGGGTAGAGTCGCTAGAGACCGCCGGAATCGGCCGTCTCGTCCTCGTCTTCGCGCCTCATCTCCCCGGGTCCAAACCAAGCAGCGATGCTCGGTGAAGTCGGCACCCGCTCCATCCTGGCTCGGGCGCATCAGGTGGAAAGGACACGCCACGTGACCGGCTGAGTTCATTGAAGGACGTGGACCGCTATAGGGATGCATCAGGATGCGTTCAGTTTTCTGGTCCCACGGAGTTGCGAACCCCCCCGGCGCCGATCTCCCAGCGAGGCGAAACTGAGACGTACTTGGAACTTATCGAACCCAGGGTTCCTCATTTTCCAAGTTGATGCAGCCACTTTGCCAAAAGGACATGGTCGATGGTCCACTTGTCATTTCTATCCCTAGAAGACCGATGATCATTTTGTTGGCCGTGCCCATCTTTGCACCATTTCTTAACATACACACCTACAACAAATGGCTGCAACAAACCCGTAACAACACACAAAAAAACAGCAACAGCCCTCAAACAATGTACATAATGTGAGAGCGCACTACAATAATTTATATGCCAAATGAATCTCCGGGTGGAAGAAACCTTTTGGACAAACATGGCGTCCTTCTCTTGTGAAAGCAAACTAATTGCATTCGCATAAAAGCATGGCATACAAATTGTAAACACATATATAGACAGTACACGCCCATTGAACAAAATCCTAGCCCCGTGGGAGTCATATCATGAGTGTCAGCAATCTTGGAGTTGTTCCAGCTATTATATTGATTTCAGAGCGATGTCTGCACAATTCCTCTCTTTAATACGGTTCTATCAGCGTTGGAGCTAACCCCAAGTCTTTCCGAGACATCACAAGACGGACAAGGTCGCAAGAAAAACGGACAAAGAAGCAACAACTGCTGGGGGACCTCGTAAACACCATCATCCAACTTGACGCTGCATCCAAACCTTGCAAGCGCAAAAACAAAGTTGGGTGGAAACGTCCATCTCTTCAAGGCTGTCGATGCTTCTGGGCAGAGGTACAGCAAGTGACAACATGTGTCTCCATGCCAAGTGCTTGCGCCGGGACACAAACTCAGGAAAACATCAATTCCCCCGCATACACCAAATGGATGATTCCATTTCACCTGTCACCAAAAAGCTGACTGCAAGCGAATCACAAATCCAAGTGTTGAAGGCCATAGCCTTGAGGGAGCTCCTTTGGCCGATCCAATTCCAGCGCAGACCGTGCGTTCTCCAAATCTCTCGAATAGGTTGACTTGTGCAACTGCTAAGGAACGAGGGTGGGCTCGATTGAAAGGGATCTCTTTTTTGGGGGCGAGACTTCTCTCATTCCCTACTTTCGTTGCACCAGTCAGATAGGTTGAAATCATCCCCAATTCTCCTTCATCTGACCTCTGTGAAAGCCTTGAAGTCGACAGCACAAAGCTCGAGCAGCGTGCGGCCAGGAGAACTTCCGGCCAATCTGACAATGCACAGGACTAGCTGACGTGGTTTTGGAAACTTGGGGTGGCCGGGAAGAGAACTCAGCCGTGAGTTGCAAGAACAAATGTGTCAAGTAGTCCATGGTTGGCTTTTTCAATATGGCAGTCATTTCAGAGATTGGCAAAAACATAGCTGTTCCACAACAAAAACAACACATGATGCTCTTTACACCAGGGATTATTGTGCGCTTCCACCATGGCTCATATCAATCAAACCAAGGAAATTGCACCTCCATGTGCTTTCAACAACAAATAACACCCACATCCTACGAGGTGGCTTTCTTCGATTAACGCCAGCCGGCCCAAGAATCACGAGGTCTAAATGGTTCTGACACAAAAGGTTCTACCCAATTCGAAACATCTACACTCCCGAAAACTAACATGGAACCTGAAAATTGACCTTTAGAAGACTATTTTCCTCTACAACTCAGTGGTTTTCAGGTTCCATGTTAATCTTCCCAAGTGTATTTTACACAGCAACTCACTTGTTGTGTGGGGATCCCACCCCTTCCGCTTGATGCTGCCGGACCCACCCGGGGCCGTGCAGCTGGCGAGGCGAGGCGTCGAAGCCGCGAAGGCGGCGCTGAGGAGGTCGTCGCAGAGGCCCAGCGCGGACCATTGGGCCACTTTGTCGCTGCAGGTGAGGGGGCCCTGACACCAAAGGACCAACGGTGAGAGATGGCAAACGGCGGACCATTTGGCCAAAGCAGCTTCCAGCGCATTGTCTACAGTTGATCATCAGTGAAGCTCAAGATGCTCCGGACCAAATGATTCCAGAAGGTAATGAGCCTTTTCCGGACTGTCTTTCACACAGGCGATACGGCCATAGAAACTTAATGATTCTGAATGTTTCCTGATTTCTGATGCTACTTCTTGCACACCCAAACCGTTTGGGCCCAAACCCAAACCATCCATAATGGGTGATTCTCGGGTTTCATCTGAACGTGTGAACGTGTCTCCTGTCCTGCTCTCGACGGCCCAGCTCTGACTGGAAAAGCCTCGGCCCACTGAGGGGGGTGGAGAGTCGACGGGGCGAAAGACATCAGCTGGTTGCAGCTGTCCATAGCCTGTCAGTTGACATCAGCTGGTTAGCAACGATCCAAAACGAATGGTCAAACGGTCAGAACAAAAAGTCCTGTAGTTGACCAATCTCAAAAAATAACCATCCACTATCCACCATCCCGTGGATAGACAGTTTGCTTGGCAGGCACTAGATGTTCAGAGCGACACCACAAATTGTGCCAGAAAAGTATGACTGTCGCTGATCATATCACTTCGGCAGAACATGCCAGCAGTGCGGTGTTTCACTCCACATGGAAGTGGAAGGAAGATGTTCAATAACTGCAGTATCCAAAATGATGTTTTACAGACCGGGCGACCGCTGAAGGCTTGGATGCTGATCATATAGGCTCTAGAGGTCTGATTGAGAAGGAACATTGAGGGTGACACGTCCAGGAGCTGACGTCGGCTTTGTTTCCGTTTTACCTGAATGGCAATCACACACGTGTTGTGCCCAATCAAAACGTAATCTTCATCTTTTGAACGCCAAACGAGCCAAGCAAGCGTTGGAAGGCACCCGGCCAAGCAGCGCAGTACCCACCGGCAAAGGACCAATTGATTTGTTCATTGCTTGGAGTTCCTTTGACTCACTCTTCACCAGGAAGGCTGCTTGACCTTCTGCTCGTGCCTCAGAATGAGGTTGGATCTCAGGTCAGATCACACACACAAGCTGTGAGGGAAAGAATCCGAACTGTTGATCCCGCGTTTGATAACGCTGACAGGTTCCTATTAGCAATGCCCTTTGTTACTAGTAGCTTTCTGCTCCTCGTAGTAATGCCAGGAGCTACTAGTAGCTTCTTGTTCAGACCAATTTTCCTTTAGCAAAATCGAACAAGATTGATGTTGCAGGGTCAATGCCGTGTGCTTCTTTGCACGACTGGCGCTCGGTGCGGGAAAAAATACTGAGGCAACACAACAACAGCATTACTCAACAAAGGAACTGCTCTGAACAAGCAGCATCTTGCAGGCTTTTGGTTTTCCATATACAGTAAATAAGGTCCAAGATCTCTGACCAAAATCATCAAACATCAAATATCAATATATTTAGTATTATCAATCATCCCCATTGGGTCCCACGTTCGTTGCAGGCTGAGGTTCATGGAAATGGATCTGCGGGTGCATCTGCTTGGGCCACAAAGGGCTGTTTGGATCCACGTGGGAACAAGTACCTCGAAGCGTCACACCACGTCAACCGAAACGACGAAGGCCACAATGCTCTCTAAGGACTCACAACTTTGGGATCATCATTGCAAGCCATTGTCATGAACCCGGGTTTTGACGCCACCAGGATCCATTGTCATGAACCATCATGAACCTGCTCTCAAATGATTCCGATGGGGATCCTTTTGGCATCTGCCCTTGAACCAACGACCCGTGGGCTAAGAGGCATTCTTTCAGAATGCCTTTTGAATCTCATCTAAATATATCTAAATATACGTACGATATGTCCAGTAAGTGCATCCACTCACCAATCTCGTTCTCTCAAGTGCCGTTCAGTGACTGCCTCCCTTGGCCCATCTCTTCCAGGAAGCATTGCCACATGGAACCGACGAAGTGTAGAGGTGCAAGGAGACGTCATCACGCAACTTGCACCCCTCCTGCCGAGTGTGGCACTGGGTCGACCAGTCGTTGCCGACCAATCGTTCCGGTGTGCACCGGTGTCGATTCGAAACGAGTTGGTCGTCGAGTTGGTCAATGGAAACTACGGGTGGTGGATCATCCTGGTGGATCATCCGGTCGCTCTGTCAGAAGTCCTCTCCATTGTGTTCCACGAGCTCTGCCTCCTCCCCAGAGAGGCAGCGCAGCACGTCCTGCATGGGCGGCTGCTGCATACTCTCCCAAAATCAGTTCAGCCTTCGGGGACTTCAAACCACAAATGACAAGCAAACATCAAAATGGAACCAACATGACCAAATGACTTAGAACGTCATTAGCTTTTCCCAAGACGTGTGAAGCACCAGCACCTAGAGGTTTTGGTTAGATTCATTTCATTCTCAGGCAATTTTGAGGCTACCGGGTCCAGACCAAATGGCTGCAGAAGCGAACACCATGTGCTCAGGTGTTTTCGTCTGCCCTCCAACCTCGTGGAGAAAGCGCAAGAACCCCCTTCTGGCCAGGACCTCCGGGGTGGGAGGTCCAAGGCGACCCCCCAAGCGTGACGGTTGACTATACATCAGGAGTGTAGTATAGATTCATATCAATCATAATAGACATAGACACCTATATGACCATAGAAACAATGGAACTTGAAAGGGAACATCAAAGCACATGTAGTAGTTTCATCTACATTTACATCTTCCATGCTTCGACTAGTTCCACTATCGGAACCTAATATGACTATACTCCCCAAAGGAACAACTATCAAGTCCTCATGGTTTTAAGTCTTGTAAACAAATATCTTGAAACATCATGAAAGAATATGAAGCGTGCCAGCAACACGGTTGAATTCAATCTTGTTACTGCAACCAGCAAATTGTTTAAGCCAATGGAACATCAAAGAATCAATGCATAGCTGTTCTACTCTGCCACTAGCTGTTGGATTTTTTGAGTCACCGTAGTTACTTGTCTGCAAACAATGGCCTCACCATGGAGATCGCGCACCACATCTCTATGGGAGATCGCCTCCCAAAACCCAACAAGATCACGGAACTCAGGAGCTTGCAAACTCAAAGACTTCAGAGGTGCTGAGCTGAGGTCGAAAGGCTTGCCCTTTTGGGGAAAATTTATATCCCAAGTTTTTCATGTGAGATATTGATCTAGTATGTTCTGAACACTTCAAACGCCCTGTTGGTCTTTCCCTGACGAGTTTCACAAAAAGTAGTGGCAACTAGGGGTGGTATACTCAGAGCGTAGCATTGCCGCAGAGTGTTTCGCTTGGCCTCCTTCCGCAACTTAGGGCTGTGATGCACCCTTTGCTGTGAAAACCACTAACACTCTTGTTTACATAGATCGATGAGATGCAGTTGAGCAAATGACAAATGCATGGTGGGTGTGTTGTCTTCATCAGGATTCTTCAAAAAAAACCTCACACAAGTGAAGAGTGACCCCAAATTGACCCCCTGATAGAAATGGGATCGAATACATACTTGGTCCTTGGTACTTGGGACCCTACTTGTATCCCATCATTATTTAGACATACATATAAATATAGTTATGCATAAGATTTAAGAGCCGTCAAAAAACATGCCCGGATATACACAGTTGTCAACATCTTGGCATCAGTGGCCCTTCCGCGAAATCTCTCCCTTCAGTCCCTCCATCTGCTTCAGCCAACAATGTTTCGATCACTTTCTTGCGACGCGTTGGAAGAACTCCATGTTTCGCCAACATGTTTTGGCCACGATGTCTCGGTCTCACGATGTTTCACCCGTTCTGCTTATTTCTGAAGTGGTTGGGTGTATGGGCCTTTCGTGTTTCACGACATGCATGCCATCTTCATGCCAACTGGCGCAGTGTCAAGCAGTCTGTATAGTAGTATAGCATCTCTTTCGTTAGATGGAATCGTGTGCCAAACATCTTGTGATATCTTGTGTTGTAATTACATACCCATACACATACATTGACCCCTCAAACCACCCCAATGTAGGCATATATGGCATACATGGAGTGTATGGGATATATTGTGTGAATCATGTCTGACTTGCATGAATTGGCAGGTTGAAGGAGTGACACATAGCCTTATATGATCTTATATGGCCTTCAGTCAGGCCACAGCCGCCTCACCGTCGAGAAACTTCGTTCCAACACCAAAGGAAATCACGAAGAGTTCCTCGGTGACTCGGTGCCAAACCATCTGCCCTCGAGGATGACCCATGTTCTCAACCAATCCCTCCCACTGCCCAGCCGTCCTCAGTTTTTGTGTCATTGGACCGTTTTCCTGACGGATTTGCTGTCCCATGTCCTCAGTTTTCCTGGACAAACCGTTGATCTTTTTTAAAACTGTTGGTTTGTAGTGAGGACACCAAACATCTAAAAAGGTTGGGCGGGTTGCGGGTTGTCGACTTTTCCTGGGTAGCCCTACAATCGACCTCTGCCTCTCTCCAATCTCCTCTGAGGCCCCTTGCCTCTCCACGAAGCGCCAAAATGGACGCCAAAACCTCGCGGTTCGCATGAGAGAGAACAAGGGCCTGCTCCCATCCATTCTCAGATTTAGATCTTATGCTCATTCAGGCTCCAAGTTCTCTCAAACCCGCAGGTAGAGCATTTCCAGCATAGAATGGTCTTGTATGTACGTGTGTAATGTTATGATGCAACAAATCCTTTCGACCCATCAACAAAGACCACTCCGTTTCAGAACCTCTAAATGCCGTTTCCTGCTGACGATTAACTACCATTCTCATTCAAAATCCCACAAAGCAACTTTGGTGTATACGTAGGTTCTTTTATGTCTATAGACACTGTAGACCGCTAAAGCCTGACACCTGGTTCCAACTGCAACCTGGCTTTAGTTGGGTTCGCTGAAGGGAAAAGGAACACACTTCGATTTGGATGTATGTTTTGTTTTCAACTTTTGACTTTAGTACATTTTAGCATAAAGGATGTTACATCACATTATTCCTTGCCGACTTTTCGGTTTTCAAGCGATTCCCAATAACGTTGGCTCGTTTCCATCTTCGGGAGCCCCGGTATTTTTCAACTTGTTGGATACCAACAATAACTGCATGGGGGCTGTTTCAAAGCTGTGCGGCTTTCTGCTATTACTGATCTATACTGATTGTTTCATTTTTTTTACCAAAAGCAGTATAGCACAACAATCAGGGTGTATGTCAAAAGCATTGGGGTGTATGTCCAAAAGCATCGGGGCTCACATTTCGCTATTTACAACTCTTTGGACACCCTCTACATCCGCTGCTAATGTCAGCAGTTTGGGGGCTTGTGGTATTCGCACTGATGGTACTACGGTTGAAGGATCTTGGTCGCTTGGACATGCAAAAGCAACAAAGTAAATAAGTTCTAAAACATGTACAAAAAAAAACAAATAAGCAATAACCAGAACAAATCTGCAACAAAAACAAGAGCAAACAAAAGCAACAGCAAAGTAAGCCAGAAATAGAAAACACGCAAACGGAACGTCCCCCTTTCGTATCAGGCAGGAAGGTGGTGGGCCCGAGTTTTTGAATGAGTGTAGTAAAGGAAAAGATCTAGCAGCTGGCCGCTGCCGCTGGATCCTGAGCGGCCCGGACGGTCTGGCGATGTGCCAGCGGCCTCCTGAGCAAATAGGCCTCCTTGGCGGTGGACGCCACGCGCTCGGCGAAGGCACAGCTGGCTGGCCTCGAAAACCGGAAGGTCCGAAGGTGGATTGACAAAGAGAGACCAGCATTGGGGAAAAGCCACCGCACTTCTCCATATTCCCAACACATACACACACCTACTGCAAAGCCTCCACCACCGGCCAAGGGGTTTAAATGGATTGACCAATTCTACTTGAACGCGTGCCAAAAATATGGTAGAGTATCGGTGATTCTGCAAGTGGAATTCTCCTGAAGGGAAGTGCTGAATGTGTCCACCGGCTGAGGGAGCACCGGAGAACAAAGGTGGAGTGATGACTGGATGTTCTGCCTAAAACCTGATAGCTGGGTCTAGGTAACTGACTTACGCGCGTTGCAAGACATCTTAAACCAGAACTACGACTCATGGCTGGATGCACTCCGAACGAACTCGCGCCTGTCTTTCTCTGCGTTGCGGATGTTGGGCCGCTTCTGCTCGCAAAGTTGAGACTCATCGTTACCAGCTCCTATGAGGAGATGGCGGAAAGCGCAAAGTTGGCTTGAGCCAGGTGTGCTATCAGTTGAGATCCTATCTTGCCACAAGCCTCTAATGTGCATGAGTCATTGTATGTCATTGTATATCATTTGAACCTCTCGTGAACAGCGTCAAGCAACCACCCGCAGCTCCTGAAGTCTTCGCCAATTGCGCATTTGACCGCAATGAGTGACACCTGTGGCAAAGCAAGGTGCTGGTGCGCGTTCGTTTGCTTAAACCACGGCCAAAAGACATGAGATATATGCAAAGAAGCAACTGTGGAACGTGGCAAAACAATTGGCGGGATAAAAGGCATTGAGTATCGTAAAACTTTGACAATTGATCAATTTGTACCCAAGTTCTTCCATTCGCGTGCTTGAGGGTCTGACGCGGATTGATCATGCCATTCATCGATCTTCAACCTGCTTTGTCTATCTTCAAAGGTTGTGTCCGGCACCCTCTTTCTCCACATCTTTTCCACACTATCCCCTAAGCCGATTCTTGGCCAAGCTTCTTTGGGCCGACTTCTTTCAATTGGACAACTACCACGTGCGTGTGTGTGTGAGGAAAAAGTGCCAGGCGCAGGAACTCACAAGTCTTCTGGACCATCTTCCAAGGGCTCGTAATCCTCTGGAGCAGGACTCGGCATCTCAGGGCGTCGTTGTCGAGCTCGGAAGAAGCACAAGACGGAAGCTGCGCACAGCAAAAGACCCAGGATCTCAGTCCTGGGAACTAGCGAAGAGAAACTTCTTGACCAGTGTCAACAGGTCAAATCTGAGTTGGTCTGCTGTTGGCGTGTTGTCCTCATTGTTTCTAGGAGCAAACAAGACAAAACAACCAGCGGGGCTCCGGTCTTTGTCTCCAAGACTCTAGGATGTGGCAAATGTTCCAAATAGATAGAAACAGTGATCTGCAGTAAAGAATGTATTGGAAACCGTTTCTATCTATTTGGGGATACCGGGATAACTATAGAGATATATACCAGTACTATGTCATGCAAACTCAACGCCGCAACAACCACAACCCCACCGCAACACCGCTCCACCAGGAGCAACGGCCGCACCCCCGAAATCAGGGTCACCTGAAACAAACAGGGCTAAAATATGCTAAAATGCACTTCTGCAAGTTCAGCTTGTAAACAGAAGATTCAGGTGAATATGAGGAATCATGCCTACTAGACTCACACTTCCGATTCGAAGAGCATCCTAGTCCAAGTAGTTCTCAAAGTCAAGGCTCAAAGTAGCAACCTTTGGCTGCAGGCTCAAACGGAGCCCCACTGCTGCGGAGATCATTGGCACAATGCCCATGAATGGAAAGGATGCAACCCTTGCCAAGTTCAAGTAAGACACCAGCTTCACCTTAGTAGTCAAGTCAAAGCATCGAAGTGAGACCTGCAACAATCAGGCCCATTCACCGTGTTCAAAGCAGCCGAAACAAGAGCATACCAAGCCCGAACAGGAAGCCAAGTCAACAGAATGACGCCAACGAAGCCGGACAGGGAGCCGGACAGGGAGCCGACACCAACGTCTGGAAGTAGGATGGATCTGTAGCCCGCTTTAAGAACAAAGGTGATCATAACACAGAAACAACACACTGCTTTGTGAAAGGAACCCTTGGAAACCAACCATTCCACATCACTGCTCTGATTTACAAAAAGCCAGGAACACCAGTACCCACGGAACTCGCAAGTCACCATTCTTTCGGTCTAGACAAGCAAAAATCACGTTCCAAATGTGATCTGATGGAGTGCAACACCTTGCTATTTATAGACGGATGAAACTTCTTGGGAACATGACACGAGCACATGGGACTGACATAGCATGACGATCGGAGTTGATCGGCGGTTTGCCGCCGGTCGTGCTTGCGAACTTCATCGAACCACAGCAGGGGTTGGTGGGATCAGAAACAAACTTACGCTCAAAGTCATGGTCAACCACAAGATGTGCATGACCAAAAGTAGAAAATAGCTCGCAAGCGGCACTAGGTTGAGCAGGAAAACTTTCCTGCGCATGTCCCGAGTTTTGATCCACGATCAAGTTAAGTCAAACAAAAACTCAGGTCACATCATTTTGCCCTCTTGACACCAGCCTACCAGGTGGAGAGAAACCCTTCCCCTTGGACCCAGGCAAGCCCTTGACAACGGCACGGCCAAGGATTCCAAGCATGGCAGCATCAAGGCAAAGGTTCCGGGCGTTTCAGAAAGCAAAACAAAGACTCTTCGGTCTTAGGGTGCTCAACTTCGTGATACCCCTTGAAAGTAGATGGGCCTTCAAAGACAACCATAAGACAAAAAGCCGTAGACAAACAGCTGTAGATACTGCACGTCACTACGGGCATTCTATACAACCTGTATACTAAACCATGAAACCAACAGCTTCTCCCCCAATGTTGCAAGCAATCACCCGGTGGGCATCCAGAAGCATGAAAATGAGGCAAGCGGCTGCAAAGCAAAGCCCCAGGATGCAAATATCCTGCAAGACACTCCAAGGCACTTGGACTTCCAAAAGGTCCCAGTAGCCTCGTGTCCACGGCGACTCGACCCGGCGACTCCACGGATGGGCCGCATGTGGAGGTTATGACTGCTCGCACAGGCCCTTCAGTGCAGCTTAACATCATGTGGTTTTCGTGATTTTCTGATGTCACTCTGCGCCATGGGTTGGTGTCATTTGACCAAGTGTCAATCTTGGGAGCACACATCACACATTGATGTGCAACAGGTGCTGCTTTGGCAGCACTCATTGATTGCTTTGATGTGATATCGCTTCTTGGAACTTCGGACACTAGACTCTCATGGACTCTCCACTGTGGCTGTGGAGTCTCCCCATTTGGATGACATTTGCAACGGCCATAGACCCCAATGCACCCAGCAACACAGCAACACATGCTCATGGATGCCATGAGCGTTTTGTGTTCCATGCCATGCACCCACCGAAACACTTGAAACAAAGGAATGGTAAAGACAGATAACAACCAACTAGCATTGCATGGTGTTGTTCCTCTGTACTTTTGAATTGCAAGGTCAAAAACTTGTTGTAATGTTCTGAGGAAGGCTGTTGGCTCAAAGACCTGCCAACAAAAGAACCTCTGTGATATGTTCCCTTGCCACCAGGCCTGGCAGGTCAAACACCGTGGTGAGTTCCAGCAATCCGCTCGCCGCGCAGACCGCCAGGTTGGCGCTGAGCACGATGGCGGCGCTGAAACGATCCGAGGGCGTTGTTTGATCCAAGGGCGCCAAGACTTGGTCCGTGAAGAGCCACCGCGCCACGGCCAAGAGCTGAGAGATCCTATAGCTGCGAAGGAAACGTGGAAGTCAGCTGTGACTTCAAAAAACATGGCGAAGTACAACTCGTCACTCTGTTGATGGTTGTCAGACTTAGTCTGCGACTGGACATAGAAACAAGTCAATTACTTGTGGAGTCGAAAAGTGGAAACAGGTCTGGAGAAGACTTCCGTGGGGGGTCATTTGAGCACGGGAAAGATGCAACCTGATCTGCTCAAATTGCGAAGGAACATGGCCAGCAGCATGCCGTGGATTTCAGCGCTCAAATCTGATGCATTCCAGCTGGGGAACATCAGAAACCCGCTCAGGCAAGCTAACATCATGGAAAGCAAAAGCCGGTGATCTTTTCGAGACTCCTGGCCGGCCAACCTCGGAAAGAAAACAACACGTCCCAAAACAAAGACTGCAAGTGAGGTTCACCCAGCTGCCAGAAAAAAGAGCGGGAAATCCTCTTAGGACAGGAAAACAACAACATGCACAAAACCAGGCCTTCCTAACTGGTGTCTGACTTCTCAGAGCTTAACTGCTTTGACAGTTACAAAACCAACCTGTTTGTTGAGAAACCTTGGATCATCACAAAATAACACTATATATATATATAACTATATATGTATTTGTTTTGCAAAACAACCCAAATCTGCACTGCAAAGGACATATATTATATAGTATATTATATATACAATACATACAATATTATACAATAACTGACTGCGATCCCAGCAACAGTCCCACTAGAAGCAAAGCCAAAGGATGCAAACCCAAGGTCGCTCGATGTGCGCTATGATACCAAAGAGTTACCGCGATGCTGGTCTCAAAACCTGAACCCAACGGGGGGTGAAGCGGTAATGCGTTTGTTTTGCTGCTGGTGCAACGAACGTGGACCTAACAGGAGTTGGTGAGATTGACCTAATTGGTTTCTACTGACTACATGTTTAACGATATACTGTGTTAAATGGCATATATCATATATTAGGTGGCTGCAACTATGATGTAGTGGTATGTCGTTGCATGCCCTTTCATGTCCAGCTTTGCTGATGACGTGCAATGGATGAATGATGGCTGCCGAGAAGCATAGCAATACGCCCAGAAGCAAATAGACCTCGGGTAGTGTCGATCCACAGAATGCAGCTCTTCGATGAAAAGCACACTTACCGTCCACTGAATTTTCAGCCACCCCTCTGCGTGCATGATGACTAGTGCTGCCATCAAAAAGCACTCTCAACTCAATAGTGCATATAATCTCCAAGAGGGCAAACTGTGGGTATGTCTCAAATGATGAAACACCCTTTAACAACAGGCTCAACATCCTCTCTGTAGATTGGACAATTGGCATCATGTTGGATAGCACATCAAGGATAATTATGGATAATTCAATTCGCACGTCTCTACTTATTCACTGTTCATTATTCAGAAAGAAACCGTATTCAAACAGGAAGACCTGAAACTAATTTGCTTCAGCCGGCATCTTTTCCTTCCCGCAGGTTCCCTCCTTTTGAAAAGCACTGAACACATTCATTCCAAGGTAAAACAGCTGCCACCCGGTGGCATGCAGCATCTGCGGCTGCAACGGCGGCGCCGGCATGGGCGGCTGCCGCGCGCGCCGCCGGCGCCGCGCGCTGCGGGGGCTCAAGCGGCCGGAGTTGGCAGCGTGGAGGTCGCGGAGGTGTTGGATGGCAGGCCACAGCTGCGGAGGAGGAGCTGGAGCTGGTGGAAGCCTTGCTTACAAGACTGAACACTTGGTCTCACCCAGTTTCTGGTGAACAAATATGGTTGAATGTTGCAAGTAGTTGAGGACATATATGTCTTGGAGTTCATATCTGCATGATGTCTTTGTAGATGTTGGATTCGTGATGTTTCGTATCAGGGTCCAAGCAGTCCGCAACATACTGCAAACAATACATGGTCGCATTTGCTTC